TTTGGGGAAGGCTGGGTGAAAGATTAGAAGAACTATCCCCCTAATTTTCGGCAGTATAGTGGGGTCGTTCATCAAAAGGACCAAGTCTCCCCTTCATTCAAGAAGTTGTGGGTCTGTAAACTGGCTCAAGTCCGGGAATTGACTGAGGGGCCGTGACTGCATTCTGGTGATTAAAGTTAGACTGCCATTCAGTTGACTTAAAATTCTTCTGCTTGTACAGCTCAAGTAAGTATTTAGTAGATTTCCTATTTATTTCACTCCTAGGGACACCACGACTAAGTAGCCAATGCCATAAGTCCATATGAGTCAGAATATTCTGATTAGTGCTTTGACTCTGCTGTCCATAATGGTAACAATGTCCACCTTGTCACTGGTGATGAAGAGCTGCCACTTGGCCCCTACCACCACAGGGTCCAATCAGCCCCATTGTAGTTAGGTGTCTTAACTCAGTTAGGGCAGTTCCCACTGTCAAATATGACTTACACAAAATAGCAATCTCAGTAGTCATCAAGGAAACTGGGGCTCCCTTCACCAATTTGTTCTTCACCATTGTGATGAAAGGTGTGTCCTCTGGGCACTCCATGAATGGGTCTGTGTGTCCAACCTGATAAATCCACTCTAATATGCCAATTTTCCTAAGCCTTTGGATTCCTTCTACAGTATACCAAAATAGGTCTGGCACTTGAACTTAATTCATGCTTCAGTGAACCAACCAATAAACTATTAGATCCTTTTCCAGCCTCTTGATTGAAAACACTGAATGAACAACCAGTGCTTAGTGGCCCATATCAATAAACTCAGACTGATCCAACTTTATGTTCCTTGCACCATTATCCCACACCCTTAATAGCCATTTGCACACATATTTCCCAGGTTTCTGTATATATTAGAAAAATCAAGCAGCTCTTTCAAGTGGGTCACACTTCGTACTTCGCCTCTTGGGGCTTGCTGGGACTTAAGTCTAGTTGTAGGTCTAGAAGCAAAAATTAGTGGTGAGGGTGGGTTCTGGGGACATTCACCAATGTCTTGTAAGCATCTGCCTCAGGCAATACCCCAGGTAATGCCCCAGATGCTGTCCCAGGACATATTGCAGAGGCTCTTCAAACACAGCTGGGTTGATCTTATCAGATGGAGGTGGAAGGGATAATAGTTTTACTGGGGATGGTGGCTTAGCAGACAAAGATGGAGTAATCTTTTCAGACGGTAGTAAGAGGGCTGGTTCTGTTGGCAGGAGTGATTCAACAGAATTTAGGGGCTCAATATCCCCAGCTTCCTGATTATTTACCTATCTGTCCCCATCCCAAGTTTCAGGATCCCATTTCTTCCCAATCAGTGCCCTCATTTTAACTCCAGACACCCTTCAATGTTGGGAATTCAACTGGTGTTGTAATTCAGCCACTCTTATGATAAGACTCTGGGTTTGGTTTTCGGCGGTATCAGCTGTGTTACTACAAGAAATAGGGCTTTCTTTCAGGGCACAATTGGCAACTTTCAGATCTTTTATGTGGCACTTGAGTTGTGACTCTGAAGCCCTGAGCTCATCTCTTTCTTTCACCACTTTGTCTAGCAAAAGCCGGACCAAACAACCAGTTTCCTTATACTTCTCATTTGACAAAATTGTAGAAAAGTATCAAGTATGCAATCACTCAGAGCCTTGTCTCTCACAAATATTTGACGCATTGGTGGTGATATTTTGTATGTTTCTATTGTCACCTCACACCGGGGATTAGTAGTGCCCTCTTTACACTGGAGACAGAGTCATCAGTGCCTCTAAGGCTAGCTAGACTTTAGAACCAATTCAGAAAGCTCAGTTTTGTTTCTCTAGAACCACTCTCAGTACCAAATGTCTTAGGCTGGATTCTCTAGATGAGCAAAACCAGTGAAGTGTATACAAATATATAGAGAGAAATTTATCTCAAGGAAATGGCTCATGCAGTTGTGGGAGCTGACAAGTCCCAAATCTGTGAGTCAGCTGGAGGCTTCTCCTGACTCACATGGTTGCAGGGACTGGTGAACCCAAAATCGGCAGGTAAGGCAGAAGGCTGCTGGCTCACGGGGTTGTAGGAGATGGTGAATCACAAGATCTGTAGATCAGGAACAGGCTACTGGCTCACATCCCAAGAACTGGAGGTCAGAGGATGACAAGTCGGATGCAGGATCCAGAGCAAGCTGGTGAGCGTTGCCAGAACGTCTATACGTATTGAATGCAGGCCACACCCCTGAAGAAACTCCCTTACAACTGATTGGCTGATCACTTCAGATCACATCATGGATGGGATTACATTATATTTCACTATGGAAAAGCAATCAGTCCAATGACTGCCAAACCACTGAGAATAATAGCCTAATCAACTTGACACATATTAACCTTCGCAATGGTAGTGATGTCCCCCTCCAATCTCTAGGATTGGCTCCCTTTAAGCCTAGAGGGATGGTAAAACTGACCAACTCCCTACAAGGACCTTATTTGCATGGTCCCACCCCTGCAAGGGTTCCATGCACTGTATTTGCATTAGCAAAACTGCCCAATCCCCTTTGTGGGCCACAAGCACCTTATTTGCATAGTCCCACCCAATCATTCATTTTGTGGAAGTTACAAGACCCTGGTTAGAAGGAACATATTAAAGCAATTCACTACACTGCACCTGTATGCCTGGTGTGCTGTGCACCCTGAGTGCTGTGTACCTAAGTACCCTGTGTACTGAAGTACCCTGTGTACCCAAGTACCCAGTGTATGTATACCCTGTGTGCCTGTGTGCCCTGTGTACCCGAGTAAACTGTGTATGTGTACTGAGAGCCTTGTGCACCCTGGTACCCTGTGTATGTGTACCCCAGGTACCTGAGTGCCCTGTGTGCTATGTACCCTGAGTACCCTGTGTACCTGAGTTCCCTGTAGTATCTGAATGCCCTGTGTATGTGTATTCTGAGTGCTCTGTGTACCTGTATACCCTGTGTATGTGTACCAAGTACCTTGTGGTCCTGAATGCTCTGTGTATGTGTACCCTGAGTGCCCTGTGTACCCTCAGTATCCTGTGTACCTGAGTGCTCTGCATACCTGTGTATCCTGTGTACCTGATTGCTCTATGTGCTGTGTACCTGGGTGCCTGCTCAGCACACGGTGTCTGAGTGAATGAGTGGAGTGTCTGTAACTGGATGGTGGGATTGGGGATGACTTTTATCTGCTAATCTGTGCTTCCCAATGCCTTGTGAGCAGCTCATTATCTTCCAGGAAGTTGTGTGGGCTGGCCTTAGCAGACTCAGTCATCTGGACCCCTGACCTGGTGGGAAGTGAGAATCCTCTCACCCTGACTCAGAAACACACACGTAGTATCTATTATCTTCTTCTACCTCTTATGTGACTCCATTTTTAGTAAAGCTTTCGTGAATCTTTCATCTCTCGCTTTGTGAGCAAATGCTTGAGTTTCCCTAATGCCCGGCCACTTGTCCCGTACCTGTGAGCTTTCTCCCAGGTGTGGCCTGCACATAGGAGAGGGCACAGATGGCTAGCACATTTCCACACACAGCACCTGTGCAGCCCAAGTGCTGTCTGCAGGGGCGTTGTTGCAGGAGCTATGCTCTTTTCGGGCCAGGCATCTTCCTGTCTGAACGTGCTACAGTTTATAGGTCGTCCTACTGCTGATGGGCGTTTGTGTTCCCAGCCTTGGACTACATGGCATAAAGTTGTAAAGATATTCTGTTCACTCATGCTCCTCTGCCGGGTACGCACCCAGGGACGGGACAGCAGGTGCCCAGGGTGCACAATGGTGGCCTTGTCAGGGACCACTAGCTCTCTGCGTGACTGTGCCATCGCCACCTTGCCTGCAGGGGCACCAGGCCAGGTGGGGGGCTCAGGAGGGCCTGCGGCACACCCACCCCTCCTCCCTCACCCATTCATCCTAAGCTGGGGCCCTGGTCACGACCCTGCCAGCTGCGTGGGGTCTGCATGGGGGGTCAATACCCGTGTCACCCCTCAGAAGGGTGAGCAGGGACCCAAGGTGGCCAGTGGTCCAATATCCCCTTGGGCGGCTGCTCCTGCTACCCACAGCCTGGGCCCTCCTTTTGCACAGTGTGGTGCTGCAGACCAAGTCAGACTTTTCTTGGTACTCATTCAACAAACCGCAGGTCTGCTTTTTCTGAGAACACTTATTTTGGACTTTTTAGTCACCCCCTGTCCCCCACAAACCCCAGGACATCCCACTCCCAGAGAATGGGGAGGATGGGGCCCTTTGGGTGACTGAGTGTCCCACTGCCCCACTGTGCCTTGGCCCAGATCCCTCCCCAGCCAGAGATGGCCATGGCTCCGTCTTGCCCGTGGATGTGTTGCCCCCAGCCCTCTAGCCCCCCAATGGGTGTGTGCCCCCACCTCCATCCCCTCCCCATCAGTGTGCATCCTCCCATTTCCCATCCCCTCCCCATCGGTGTGCATCCTCCCATTTCCCATCCCCTCCACCGATACAAGACCCCTGTCCCTCAGTGGATACATGCCCCTCTACCCCCTTTCCCCCTGAAGGTGTGTGCATCCCACTCCCCAGTGGGTGTGCACTCCCCCGTGCCCCCGTACCTCCTCCATGGCTGCACATCCTCCCCTCTCCCCCATAGGTGTGTGTGCCCCTCTTCCCCCTTGGGTGCATGCCCCCATCCCCCTACCCCTCTGTGGGTATGTGCTCCCCGCTCCCCAGTGAGTATGCACCCCCATCCCCCTACCTCCCCATGGGTGCGTGTACCCCCACCTCCCCCTTGCATGCATGCCCCCACCCTCATCCCCCCAGTGGGTGTGCGCCTTCAGCCCTTGGTGTCCACAGGAGACCCATAGGTGTAAAGTCTTTATTGGGGTTGGCCCTGGGCAGGAGTATGCACGACATACGTACTGGAGCCCGGGGGCCTGCCCAGAAGCACCTAAAACGGCGCAGAGGGGACACAGGAGTTCTGGGAGCAGTGGGGACGGCTTGGTCTGGCCAGAACCTTCAGGGTGCAGCCTGGGAAGGGGGTGCTGGCTCCACTCAGACCTTGGCCAGGACAGAGTGTTCGTCAGCGTGCTCCTCTTGGATGGGGGTCCGGAAGCTGTTGCTCCCTGGGAAGGAAGACAGGGCAGGTAGGAGATGGGTGGGTCTTCCCCCTGTAGGAGAGTCTGGGCTAGGCCAGGCAGGCACTCACCAGGGGGCTTCACGGCGGTGGGTGGAGGCCTCCAGGCCTGGCGGTGCAGGACTAGGACAAGCACAGCGGCCAAGGCGCTCAGCAGGCCCAGGCCCAGGCTCAGGCCCAGGATGGCAGCCAGCGCAGGGCCTGTGAGGGACAGGGCCGGCTAAGATGGGGTCCATGGGGACAGGGAGACCCCATCCCCACCTCCCCACCTGCTTGGGGTAAGGCCAGGCTCCTTACCCCTGGGGGGTCCTGTTGGAGCTTCAGGAGGCTTCTGTGAGGCCCCGGGCTGGGCAGTAGTGGGCTGGGCAGAGGTGGACAGGGGTGGGGGGTACTGAGTGCTCCAGGGTAGCGTGGTAGCCAGGGGGCTCCTGTCCTCACAGACTGCATCTGAGCTGTTGCTGGCTGGCTGCAGGGTGCGCTTCCCGGTGGAGGTGCAGCTGTGGGGAAGCCTGATCAGAGGAGACTTGACTCCCCACCCAGGTGGGCCTAGAGCCAGGACTGCAATGGGGAGGGGGAGGGTGGTCCACCCTGGGTTGGGCTGTGATGGGGAGGTCTGCACTAGGTCGGACTACAATGGAGGGGACCACACTGGGTCTGACTGGGATGAGGGTACGGCCCGCCCTGGATCAGCCTCTGAGCAGCATCCACACTGTTACCTGCATCACAGCCCCAGACCAAAGGCAGTGGAGGAGAACGGGCGAGGACCCTGCCCAGGCCCCGGAATCACTTGCTGCCGCAGACAGCCCTGGCCTGACCCCTGAAACATCTGCCCCATCCTGGAGGGGCTTCCCCAGCTCCCTGCGATCCTGCAGGGGCCTCCTCCATGTCCCCCAGTCTACCCATCACACGGCTCCCCACACTGGCTTGTTCTACCCACACCTATGCGGCTCCACTGGGCCTGTGCATTCCTGAGCCCCCTGCCCTTTGTCCTGCCTGCCTCCCTCTAGAATGTCAGCCCTGTGGAGTCCAGGGCCCCAGCTGTGGATGGTCATGCACACGCTTACACACACACATACGCACACAGATACACACTCATGTGTACACATACACTTGCTCACACACATACACAACCATACTCACGCTCACACATTTACCCACACACACTCACATACACACACACACAGCTTCTCTGCCAGAACCTGGGCCTGATCACATATCCCACTCCAGCCCATAGGGAGGGGCTCACACACCATCCAGGCCCCTGGGTCCCCAAGCCCCCAAGTCCCCAGCCCTCCCCTTACCCCAGCCCCCCAGGCCCCTGGGCCCTTCGGCCCCGCATCTGCCACTTACTCGGTCCAGGGCTTACAAAGCTGGTTGTGGCCTGGGGAGAAGTGTCCTGGTGGGCAGGGGGCGCAGTCTGCAGGGGAGAGACAGGACAGACTCAACCCCAGCCCTACCCAGGCAGTGGCAGTGCTTGGGCCCAGCCCTCCCTCGCCACAGCCCACCCTTCACCTCTCTGAGGCCTGAAGGGGTCCCAGGTGTGGTGTGGGGCCGGACTCACTGATACCCAGGCTGAGGCCCCACCACTCACCAACTCCTGGCTTGTAGCCGCCCTGGGGCTGGGTGCCTGGCCTGCAGTGGCAGACTGTGTCCCTTGTGGACGTGCAGCTCTGCACGGGCTCACTCCCACTTCCTGGGCAGGGAGAACAGTAGGGGCAGGGGTAGGTGTGGGGAGGGGGGTAAGGGATTAGGGGTAAGGAGCGGTCAGGGGAGGGTCCAGGACCAGGGAGGGGTCGGGGTTTGCCTTCCCTGGGCTTCCACACATCGTAAGCACCAAGGGCAGGGACCTCAGCCCTCACTCCCCTAGGAGGTGCCCCGTGGCCTGGTTCCAGCCAGGAGCATTTCTGAGGGGTGTCAGAGGCCTACTTGTTTGCCCTCTGCAGGGCCCTGCGGCTCCTCCTTCAGGGGCCCTCCCCAACAAGCCAGCTCAGACTTAGGTGAAGCCCACGTGGCCAGCACATGCCCCACTCCCCAATTCCCCTTGTGGTGGGACCCCAAGGAGCAGCCCACTGTGGTTTGGGGGTTTGTTTCTGTGGCTGTGTGGGACTGTATGCAGCCACATGTGACAGTCGAAGGTGGTTGTGGTCTCCCATTGCTGAGTGGGGGGGTGGGGCGGAAGGGTGATGGCAGCGGGGTCCAGGCCTGTAACCCGGGCTGGGCAGCAGTGGCGCTCACTCTCATTGCACTGTGTGCACGGCCTGCAGGCCTCGTAGTTGAAAGCCTCATTGTAGTAACCGGGCTTGCACAGCTGGCACACGGTATCACGGGAGTGGTCGCAGCGACTCTCCATTCCATAACCTGTAGGGGAAGAGGGGTGGGCGGCATCAGCTTGGAGCCCCTCTGCCTGCAGACCGGTCACCCTGGCCGGGCCCTGGCTGCTCCATCCCCCAGTGCCAGGTGCTAAGAGAGACCCCATGCGGCCCCCTACAGTCCTCATGCCTACGCCGCCCCCCACCTGTCTGCCTTCATTCCCAGCCCCCTCCCCAGTCCCCACTCCTGGTCCTCCTTCCGGGCCCCCTTCCCATCCGCACCCCGCCCCAGCCCCCTCTCGGCCCCATGACCCAGGCCCTCACCAGGCTGGCACTCATGGCAGCACCTGCTGCCGCTGGGGTAGGTGGGCCCCTTGCAGTTGAGTGTGGCCGCACAGCTGAGTGCCAGTGCCAGGAGCAGGAGGGCCATGCAGGGCACCGCCAGCTGCGTCCCCGCACACATCCTCAGTCTCCTCAGAGTCTGGGGCTGTTCTTGCAGGATGTGACTATAAGCACTGCGGGGGAGGGGCGGGATGGCGGGGGAGGAGCAGGAGGAAGTGGAAGCCTGGGGTCCCCAGTAAAGACTGGAGATTTTCTCCTGACTGCACCCCAGCCCCTCTGCCCACCACTCCTGGCGGCCACCTACCTCAGGCTCGGCACAGCCAGTCATCCCTCCCCAGCATGAAGATCACGGGACATTGCAAGGACAGGGCCAGGCCAGGTCCTCAGGGTCAGTCCTGCCTGCCTCCTCCCTCCCACCGTGTGGCCAGGCCACCCACAGAGGCCAGAGCTCCCTGCCTAGCACCCTCTCCACATGGCTCAGTCTTTCCTCGCACCGACTCACCCTGCCTGGGCGGGGGAGGGGGCCTCAGGAATCTGACCTTGCCTCAGCTACTTTGGTGCCAATCCTCAGCCTCTCAATAAAGGGATGCATGGACCACTGCGTAAACTGAGGCAGCGAGCTGGGTCAGGAGAATGGCTGGAGCAGAGCCCCCACGGTCTGGCCAGCCGTCCCCAGGCACTTTGGGGTGGGCACCATGGTGGGGCAGGCACTGTGGGGCAGACATGGCAGCAGGGTGGAGATTGGGGCGGGCCCAGGGTATGGTGCCACCCGAGTGAGCAGGGCAAGCTGGGATGATACGGCGGCCAGTGGAGATGAGGTCCAGTTGCGTGGCCAGTGTCCACACAACAGGCGTGGGTGGGCATGTGTACACGTGTCACTGTGGCTGCACTCCACATGCCAGAATGTGTGCACACGTGTGGCTGCTCCTGCAGATGAACTCCCAGGCCCCTTCTGCAGCTGTTCTGATGGCCCACCTGCCCCCGCTGGCCCCAAACTCTGGCCTCAGAGTCCCAGGTCATGAGGTGGGCCTTCAGGACTCCATCCCAGGCGCCCCCACCTGGCCAGCCCGCACACACTGGGCTTCGGGTTTTTGCTGCAGTGAGGCTGGAGGACGACCTCGTCCATACCACAGAAGGCTCCAGCCTCGTGCGGAGGGGGCGCTCCAGCCAAGGCAAAGGGCAGAGTGTGCACCTCACCACCGGTGTTTTAGGGGGAGAACACACGTGCGCACACATGCATGTATGCACACGTGCACACCTGCCACACACACTCATATCATTCACACATGCACGTACATGGACATCCATATCCACAAACACGCAGGCACGCATCGTGCACACACACATGCACCAAAAAACCCCCATACACACACACACGCACCACACACCTGCACATACACGCACACACGCACAGACGCCATGCTTACACGCACACTCACATACACCCACCAGCATGCGCACACACACACCTGCACATACACACATACAGATGTGTGCACACGGTCATCTGCTTTTCTTCCATGCAACACTGCCTCTGGGGAGGGGGGTGGAGGCTGGAGACGTCAAGGTGTTCCTTTTATAACTTTTAACTTGTGGCTGTGTGACAGGATTATCTATCAAAAATGAACCTGAGTCTCCAAACTGCTTCCTGAATTGCCCTCCAGACAGCAAGGGAGGAGGGTGGAAATGCCAGGCCCACTGTGGAAATCCCCCTCCCCTGGAGAAGCGTGGGGAAATTCCACACCTCCGCTGGGCCAGCTTCCCCCCTCCCTGCTGCATTGTGGGAGGGGGCAGAGGGAGAGGCAGGCTCTCCATTCCCCTCCCCAGGACAGGCTCACCCTCCCCAAGCCTCCAAAATGTCCCCTCCTTGCCTGGGGGAAAGGGGGCTCAGGGCTTCCCAGGCAGCTATGGTGCTGTGTGTGCATGCGTATACATGCGTGTCCCTATATGGTTTGTGCACACATGTGGATGTGTGCACAAGAGTCTACACTCCCAACCACGCAACTTCCTGCGTTTTCTGAACGCTCCATCTTGCTCTCTAGGCCCCTCTCCCACTGACAGAAAGATCTTACATTTGCCATCAAAAGGAAACTGATTTCCTCTCAGGCAAACCTGGGGTCCTGTGGGCAAGCAATCCTCTGCTCCCAGGGTGCTCCAGTCCCCTTCCCGTGGCTCTGCACTGATGGCCAGGGGTCTGTGTGTAGAACCCCACAGGGCACAAGGCTGGACCCCAGCCCTCCCTCACAGCCCCCCCCACTGTGGGGTCCAGGTGACATTTGACCTGGCCACCTCTGGGTTCCAAGGACAAGGCCCGCCCCCCAGGCTCAGCCCAACCTGCACCGTCAGGGCTCCCAACTTTAAGGGGCCACCGCTGCCAGGAGTGGTGTGTGGGCACGTGGCCGGAGACCCAGCGTGAGGCCCCTTCCTCGGCAGGTCAGTGTGGCTGAAGGACGTCCAGCTGCACCCCATGGTGCATCGCACACCCGCTGGGGCAGGACGGCATCCGGCCTACTCATCAAGGTGATGGACTCTGCAGTCAGGCCCCAGAACCACAGGCCGGGTGTCTTCTGGCCCTTCATGTGGATGTGAGAGTGAGGGGTGTGGCGGCAAGACAGGATGTGGGAGGAGGGGCCCTCAGCTGGTGCGACTCCTGGACTCAGAGGTGGCCAAGCCAGGCATCGAGGGTAGGAAGGGCTGACCCTGAAGCCACACCCCCCACAGGGCTGTGGTCAATCATTCCAGGCCCCCTGCAAAACACTGTCCCTGTGGACCTGTTTGCACCCTGCACCAGCCTCAGTATGGAAAGCCTCCCTGAACCTCCTGCTTGTTTACAGGAAACAGCCCCCAGTGTCCCCATCCAGCAGGGTTCTGCCACTGATGCCCCGTGCCTAAAAGGCCAGCTTGTGGGGTCCGGGTAGCAACCTGGGGAGCAGGCCCCTCAGCCACCACAGCCTCCTGGCTGGCCCCCACCCAGTGCGGCATCATGGGGCTCAGAGCCATCTGCATTCCTGCCGAGGGGCAGGGGTCAGCATCCCCATGTGCCACAGCCCCGGCCCAGCCAGACCCCCACGTGGTCCTGACTCCAACACGGTCCTGCAAAAGGCAGCGGCTGCACCTCTCAGCAGGCGGCCTCCCAATACTGCTGCTCAGGATTCCCAAACAAGCAACATCTGGACCCAACACTGAATGTCACTCAGCAGCTGCAAGAGCCCCTGCCGCACTTTGGAGCCACTTGCTCCGTGGGAGCTACCAGCTACAGTACAAAAACCATCAATTTTTCATCCAAAGAATGAATCTGGGTGAAAAAACCAACTATATTTTAAAGTAAATTAACGATTCTTGTCACAATAAACTTTGCATTTCCTCAGCGGTTGCACTGCCTGATGTAGGTAGTTCTGACACGTCCGTGCAGGAAGGAGCTGGTGATCCCCCAGCGCCCTCCTCAATTCTTAAATCTTTGTTTCCAAGGAGACGTGGGAGCAGTGGGTGCTGTGGAGCCCCCATGGGCAGAAACAGCCTCAGTGTGCCCCTGGGCGACTCTCAGTGCGAGCAAAGACATCCACGCTGCAAGGACTGAAGGAAGCCGAGGGCAACCTCAGCCCCAGGACACAGCACAGGGCTCTGCAGGGTCAGCAAACCTTTAATGATTGGCCGCCAGGCCTGATTCGGTGTGAAGGGAAAGGAAGAAGGTTCCAGAAGGCACCACCCACAGTCATGGCCAAGAACACAGGCTGGGTTAGTGTTAGAACCATCCGGACCTAGTGCCGGGTGCATCAGAACTCCTCGTGCACACTGCGGGCATAGTCCACCAGCTTGCTGCCCGTGAAGAACTCGCTGTACTTGAGGATCTCCTCCGGCTCCAGGTGCTGGTTCTGGTTCTCGTCAGCGATGGCGATCATTTGCTTGGCCTCATTGAGGGCGTTGTACTCATTCATAGGGTCCATGTACTCCTGCAACAGATGCCTCCCAGCAGTCAGCAAGGCCGGGCCTGGAGCCCACACCATCCCTCCGGTGCTGCCTCCACACTGTGCCCACCACACCCCGCGGACACCAACCCGAGTGCAGGCACTGCCAGGCCTGGCCCAGCATCCCCGTGCCACCACCAAGCACCCCCACCCCCACAAAGGGAACAGTGCCACCCGGCCCTCCAGTGCTTGGCTCCTCCTCGCCTCCCCAGGAGGCTGCCCCTCCTGTTCCTGCAGCATGGAGACCCTCCTGGGAGAGCCAGTGGCTGAGTGCCCAGACCCCAACAGGGCCTCTCGGGGACACACAGCCCTTACCCAGGGCAGCACCTCAGGGCCAATGCAGTCCACAGAGGACACTCATACCCACCCCCAGCATGGCCCCTCCTTCCCCCCCCATGCAATCGATCCCCCAGGGTGGTCCTCGTGTCCCCCACCTCCCTGTGTGGCCCCCCAGGAGGTGGCCCCCACCTCCAGCTCCTCCGGGGTCACAATCCCGTCGTGGTTGGCGTCAATCAGCTCCTCAAACTCTCGCTTCCTGTCTTTGACCCAGTTGTCGTCGATGTCCTGCGCCTGCTGGTTCTCCACAGTGCCCACGGGGAGGGAGATGAACTCGGGCAGTGAGAGTCTTTTGTCACCGTCCTGGTCTGCAGGGCGAGGGCATGTGAGCCCGGAGCCACAGGGCAGATGGGGGGCCATGGGGCAGATGGGGGGCTGTGGGGTACGTGGGGGACCGCTAGACAAGACTCTGCACGTCTGGGTTTTCTTGTTACGTCACAGCACAGCCTCAGAAGAGGCCACAGGGCCGTCTCACAGTTCGTTCATGCCTGCCTGCCTGCCTGCCTGCCTGGGGAGGAGGACCGGCACCATGCAGAGGGCAAAGCCCCAACTATGGAGGCTAGACAGGCCCCACCTCAGCTCCAGGCCCTGCCTTGGCCCCAGGCCCCACCTAGTCACCTGCCCCGCCTCACCAAGGTCTCGCACAATCTCCTTGACCATGAACTGCAGCATGCCGCGGCTGTGCTCCGGGTGGAGGAAAGACAGGAACTCCTCCTCAGTCAGCAGCAGGTCCGCGGGGGGGTTGTCTGCCTGGTACCAGCGGTCCTTGAGGTTCTCCAGGACTTCCTGTGCTGAGGGGTGCCATCTTGTGAGAACCTCAGCAAACCACACTGGATGCTGCCCGTGGGCTGGGACACCAGGACAGCCAAGTGCGGCCAGGCCAGACACAGCGGGTGATATGAGCAGGGCCTCGGGAGTTAGGCCTCTCAGGCTTCAGGGCCAACTGCGCTCACTGCCCTTCACTGCCTGGGGGAATTTTCTGGAGAGCTGTTCTCCCTGGACCCTGCTGAGAAAGGCTGCCCGAGGTTTCCTGCTAGAACCAAGAACCTCCTGTGCCTTAAATCATGCACCAGGTGGGGTGACCACACTGGGTAGTGCAGAGTGACCTGAGGCCTGGGGTAAATGTAGCCTGGAGTGAACGCTCATGGGACAACCACAGGCCCGGTGTGAATGTTTGCAGGGTGACTACACATGGGGTGGACGTACGTAAGGTGACCACACGCAGGGTGGACACACGCGGGGTGACTACACACAGGTCACCATACACCTGGGGTGATCCCCTCCCTAAGCCCTCTCCCGCCTCTATCCAGGGCCTCCACCCAGGGCCTTGCTGACCACCCTCACATCACTCCCATCTGGAATGTCATCGCTCTGCTACAGTCTGCACTTTCCAGCTAATGCCCTTTCAAAGCTGAATCGCTCAAGGAGGCTCCTGATAGAGAACTGCCCGAGGCAGACCCTGCCCCTCACCAGACCCCGGGCCGCCAGACCCATCATCCAACTCCCAGACCGCCACTGCATCTCACTGACTGCTGCCCCATGCACCCGCTCACTTCTCCTTGGGGTTCCCAGGCCTAAAAGGGAGTGACTCCCTGCACCAACCGCCATGAGAGCCCCTCAACTGGTATCAGGAGCCATCCTGTCCCTTCCCCTCTCTGCCACAACCCCTCACCAGCCCCCTGCCTGTTGCCTGCCATCTAGACTGGCCAGAGGCCCAGAGGCCCATAACACTGACCCCTCAACAATGTCCCCTCACCAGCCCCCACACCCCCCATCCCCATCCCTCTACCCACACGAGGTCAAGGATCTGGCAGCAGAAGCACACGGACCTGTGGGCACTAGGCCTACGCTGCTCACTGGTCTGTCTTAGGCCTTGGGAGCAAGTGGGGAGGGTCTTGGAGCAGCGGGGAGGGTTTCAGGGAGCGGGAGGGTCTCAGGGAGTGGGGGGTCTCAGGGAGCACGGGGGTCTCAAGGAGCAGGGAGAGAAGTCTCAGGAAGCAGGGGGAGGGACCAGAAAGGGGGTTACTCAGGAGCAGGGAGGGGAGGTGTCTTGCACAGGGACCCAGGGCTACACCCATGCTGTTTGTTTATTCTCCGTGAGAAGTGGAGGTGTGCTGTGGAGGCTGACTCAACTGTTTACAAGAACAAAAAAAAAAAAAAAAAAAAAAAAAAAACGGTTTTTTTTTGTTCCTTTCAATTTCTTTCACGTGCAAAGTTGCTTTAGGGAGAAGATGGTTTCAAAGGAAAACCCAGTTTCTAGATATGACTACAGGAATGGTGAAATAAACTTTCCACAGGCTCTTTCTGCACAAACACGGAGGAAGCTCTCTGTGAACGTCACAACCCCCATCCCCCCCATGGAAAGGACCCCTTTGTGGAGAGGACCCCCCCGCCCCGGTCTAGCACGAAGAAGTCTAGCACAGGGCAGGGAGGAGGGACTAGGTGCGGCTGCCCGCAACTCCCGGTTCCCCAGGGCAACACATCTAATGCACTAAAGCCAGGGCCTGACCCACTGCACCTCTGGCTGCCCCCCCCACCCCCCGGAGCCGCAGGTGTCAGAAACAGCAGGACGCAGTGCAAGGAACCCTTCCAGGCCCTCCACCCCATGAGGGTCCAGGATTCTGGGCCTCTCTCAGCCTTCCCCGCCACCCCCGCCCCACCCCGCATCATCTACTGTTTGGTCAGCACCTCTATTAGCTCTTTCCTCAGGCAGCTGCTTCTGGCACCTTCCACCTCCTGTTCCCCAGATGCTCAAGCTCGGCAAAAGCCCCCACGACACCCCCACCACTCGCCACCCCCAACCAGAGCTCCCGGCACCTAAGGCCTTTGCAGGCTGCTCCCACTGCCTGAGGACCACACCCCTCACACCCTGATCAGCTCCTGTCAGACCTCTAACCTCCAAGTGCGGCCCAGCTGGCCCAACCGGGTCAGAGTACATGTCTACACTGCATGCTTCTCCGTGCAGTGTTTGCATCATCAAACAACAATCTGCACCGAGAGCCCAGACCAAAGCGGCCCTTCACCGCCGGTCCACCCTGCCGCGCCCTTGGTGGACACATCCGATGCCCTGGTCTCATCACAGCCTTTCTGACACCTGACAGGTCTACATCTCACAAGAGATAAGCACAGGCACATGCATGTACAACATGCGTGCACACAGGGCAACACCCTCAAGCCCGCCCTCTACATCTGGAGATGCTGCCCAGGGGTCCTGGCTGCGGGGCCCACACCTGAGGGAAGCCCCGTGAAGCGCAGCCAGCGCACGGACTCACTCTCCTCGTCCACCTTCAAGTCTTCGTTGTTCTTTATCCTCTCGGCAATCTCTCGCTCATTGTGGCCTTTGCTGACCAGGAACTTCAGCTGGTACTCATCCCATGACACACGGCCTGCAGAGTGGTCACATGCATTAGGAGGCTAACGCTCAGCTTCTGAAAACCAAACCCGCTGCTGTCAAACCGATTCCAACTCACAGTGACTCTACAGGACAGATTAGAACTGCCTGATAGGTTTCCAAGGAGCAGCTGGTAGATTCGAACTGCCCATCTTTTGGTTAGCAGCCTAGCTCTTAACCACTGCACCACCAGGGCTCCACCTTTTGAAAAAGAGAGATCTATTTTCTAAGACATCTGTTAAAAATCCTGGTGCTACAGGAGCTGGAAGACCAGACACCTCCAAGCCCTCAGTTCCGAGCTCCTCCCTCAGGCTGTGGTGTAAAAGGCAGAGCCCACACCCCTGAACCCACTGCCACCACCTGCCAGCCAGGATGCCCACCCGAAGGGCAGCCCACAACCAGCTTCTCCCTCCCATTTGGGGCCCCAGGCATCATATGAGTTGTCACATTCAGTGCCAGCTGTGTGTCACAACTGTTGGAATGCTGTGCGCCATCGCTCCCTGAGATGACCCCAGTGCCCCTGGACAGTCGGGCCAGGCAGCCAGAACACCTGCTCCTGCAGGGCCTGGCCAAGCTCTTAGGGAGGCCCAAGGGTCATGGCCCCAAAGGAATGACAAGACAGGTAGTCCTAGAACAGGCCCTGGAGGAAACTGTGTGAACTCAGACTTTGCAACCAATGAGAGCACAGCCCTGCCCCCTCAGTGAGACCCTGGCTTCACATGGCCACAGACCCCTCCACCCCGCCCCGCCAGACACGCAGGAGCCCCCAGCAGGGTCTGGGCCTGACCATTGTGTTCCTCCAGCTGAGCACCGCCTGGCCCCGTGGTGCCATCAGTAGCGTTTGCTGAGTAAATACATGACCTCGGGAGCTCCCCACTCCAGTACCGTCGCCATCAGGGTCCACGGAACGGAAGTGCAGCTTGTTCTCGCGGACGGCCTCCTGGAAGTGCTCAGCCGTCTTCTCCATGATCCAGCGCTGCATCTCCTTGGCGCTGATCTTGCGGTCGGCATTCACGTCCACTCTGTAGGAGGGGGTAGGTGTGTCAGCCTCAACCACCAGACATATAAGGGGGCATGAAATAGGGGGTGGGGACAGCAGAATGGGTCAGGGATGAGACAGGAAAGGGATGGGGCAGGGACAGGAGGGATAAGACGGGAAGGGGATGGGGCGGGGACAGGGTGGGCAGTGCAGTCTGCAGCTGCCACTGGGTGTGGGCTTCCGCACCATCTTCAAATAGCAGGTGAGTGGACCCCCACACACTCAGAAATGGTGGATTAACATCCCCTCCCAAAGAGTGGCGGTCACCCAGCTACTACTTCTACATCGTATTCCTGGCACTTTATCTTACTCAGTGCAGACACGTGAACACACAAAACCCCTCAGGGATATGTGAAGTTACAGTATTTGGAGAATAGAGACTCAGGAGACCAACATCATGTCCACAGGGACATGGCCCAGAGGCAGGCACTGGCCAGCTCAGGCAGGAGGGCCTGTAGGCCACGGAAGTGTCCTGTCAGGGGGAGGGGGCCACACCATCCATGTCCCAAACGACCACAGGCCTCAGTCCTCACATTAATCACGTTGCCATGGGGCTCCTCAAACACATGGCAGCACCCCTGGCTGACCGCAGAGCCCAACACATACACCCATGGGGAACCAAGCCTGCCGCCCCTGCTGTGTCCCACTGTGCACTGTGACAGCCAGGCGGCCTCTTGGTCCCACGTGGCACTGAACCCAGCGAGCCCCGATCAGCAGCACAGTCCCTGTGCCCCCAAGGGCAGAACACAGTGGGCAACACACACTGCGCATAAGGGAAACTGTCTCCCAGCAGCCCCACCTAAAAATGTGACTCGGGGCTCGTTTAGAAGAAAAGCTACAGACACAGACATGCTTGTGCAGAAAAACAAAGGAGCCAGAGTGAACCACTGATGTGAGCTTGGAGACATGGGTGTGAACTGTTAACAGACACAGAACAGCAGACACAGAAACAAGTGTGGACATGCATGAACACGTGGGTCATCAGCTTGTCCTCTTAGAGGGCCTAGAAGCAATGGCACCCCTGCAGCAAACAGCAGACCCAGATCTTGTTTTCCAACACCCTTGCCAATCACAGGCTCCTTGGAGGAATGGCTGGTCCTGGGGCTGGGCAGGGAAGTGTAAGATGAGCCTGGAGCATCTCCGAGTGTAAGAAGGTGAGGGAGTCTCAAGAGACAAGAGGAAGGGGCCTGTGAAAGGGACACCCGAGCCAACCTAAAGGAGTCCCCAGCGGCCAACACTGGAGCAACATGGTAAATGATGCAGAGCTGGGGTTATGACCCAAGGTATACACAGATACCATGAGCCCACGATGACATAAATGAGTCAATAAACAAATTGGAAGAAAAGTCCTCCTTACAGAAGAATCCTCAAATAACATAGTGATGGCCCCCCCCCCAGAAAGTAGGGCTTCACTCCCACCCCTCCAGGCTAGGCAGGGCTCAGTGACTCCTGTCAAAAACCAGGGAAAAGGGGAGATGACTTCATAGGGAGAGCATGCCAGACACAACCTTAGCCAAGCGGCCAAGGTGGTCACACCAGTGACATGTGGTGTCCTGCACCCCGATACAACGTGATGAGAGGGCACACTCAGCTCCCCGACAACCTCTCCCCTGGGTTGCCCATCTCCTGCACCCTGTCCTCACCCAGCTCCCTGACACCCTCTCCCCTCCCCGGCAGCAGCTCCTTTGCCGGCTCCTCTTCTCCCTGACTTCTGAGGCCGCTGGGCCAGGGCTCAGTCCTCTCCTGTCTACTCTCTCCACAATGATCCATCCAGTTACAGACTTTACACTCCACACACCGAGCATGTCCACACCTGCCTCCAGCCTGGTGGGCCCTGAACTCAGGACTCTGCATCCACACCCTCCCAAAAGCCAGCAGCCCCACTCTCATCAGGAGAAAACATGCCAGACAGACCCAACTGAGTGCACACCACAGAGCTGGGATGAGCACTCTCAGTCAGCCAGGGTCGTGAAACAGAGTCTGAGAACCTTCCCAGCCAGGGGCTCCTCGGGAGACCAGACACTGAACACTTGGGGTCCCGGATGGGGTCCTGGAGTAGAAGGAGGCATCAGTGGAGAAGCCCTGCATCTGAGTGAGCTTGGAGTAGAGGTGCATTGAACCCCAGGGTTAGCACAGTGTGCAGCTGGAGCTGGGAGCCAGCACAGCTCCCATCACTGACCTGACTTTCCACTAACCCCACCCAGGCCCACCTCCCCGCCCCAGACCTGCCCCCCGAGACCTGCCCCTCTGCTAACCCCATCCCTCTGCTGATCCCACCCACCACTAACTCCCCCCTAGACACACCCCAACCCAGTCCTAGACCCACCCCTCTGCTAACTCCACCCCCAGATCTACCCCTATTAACCTACCCCACCACTATCCCCATGCCAGTACCACCACTAGCCCCACCTGACTAACCCCACCCCTCCCAGGTCAAAGGCAGAGAAATGAGTGGGGATCTCCCACAAGGGCCCCTCTCTGCACTCCAGGCCTTGTGCCCCATCATGGTTCCCAGCCTAGAATCGAGCACACCAGCAGCAGCAAGGGATCAGTGTGGCCAGGTCTGGCCTCCAGTCCCACCCACAACCCATGCCACTCCCCAGGTACACGGCAGGTCTGCACAACTGCGTGTCTGGAAGCACTGGCCAGGCAGGGAGCCCCTGGGTGGCTCACCCCAGAGAAAGTCCCATCCCCCTGCTCCAAGTTAGGAGCCTAGGGTGCCTCCCCAAATGCACCTCCACAGATCTCAACACCCTTGGGGCAAGGCCCCTTCCCCTCAGCTTCTGTCCATCCCTTAAACCCTGGTCCCCAGAAAGACTCGCCTGGGGCCTGTACGTGCTGTTGAGGAGCCCGGCGGGTTGGGGTACTGAGGGCCTGCAGAGGCCAGAACAGCTCCATCAAGGAGCCAGGAGCCCCTGTCCCCACCGCTGAGGAGGCAACCCTGCCCCCTGGTGGCCACTTCTGGTTTCTTCTGTGGGTTTGAAACCAGTGGTGGCAAAACCCCACTCCCCTGGGCCCCTATGAGGACTCAGGAAGCCCAAACGACTTTACGTGGAAATGTCTGTGTGAGGTACTGTGAAGGGTACGGGCGTCAGTGCAACCTGTTCTCACCTGGCTCCCCAACACCCCTTCCTCGGGGTCCTCCCACTGCACCTCAACCTCACCTCGCTTCCCAACATGTCCTCCCCTGGCTCCACCCGCCTCTCTGCATATCATCCTTACCTGGCTCCCCGACACCCCCTCCCCTGGGTCCCCCACCTCATGCACCCCCTCCTCACCCAGCTCTCCAATACCCTCTCCCCTGAATCCCCATCTCCTGCACCCTGTCCTCACCAGGCTCCCTGATGCCCTCTCCCTTCCCTGACAGCAGCTCCTTGTTGGCTCCTCTTCTCCCTGACCTCTGAGACCGCTGGGCTGTGGCTCCGTCCTCTCCTGTCCACTCTCTCTGTGATGATCCATCCAGCCCCAGACTCCACACAGCAGGGATGTCCACAACTCCCTCCGGCCCAGTGGGCCCTGAACTAAGGCTCAGCGTCCGTGCCGGCCCCAGCCTGGGCCACACTACCCACCACACTGCCACCCTCTTGTCTGCACAGGCCAGATCTGGACATCCATATGCAATAACCCCAATACATCAGCAAAGCCTGCCACCATGTTTCAGAACAAGCCTGGGGCCCGTCTGTGTCATGCCATCCCCACCACTGCCCCGTGGCCCTAGGTCACTGCCACAGTTGGCCTTCCCAACCCCACGCCCCTTCCTCCATTCTCCACACGCAGCCAGAGGAGCCGTACTAGAGCACAAGTCAGACACGTCACCCCGCTCAAATCCTGCAGTGGCCCAGCTCATGAGATGGAAAGCCACTGTCATGGATTGAGTTGTTTCCCCCAAAAATATCTGTCAACTTGGCTAGATCAGGATTCCCAGTATTGTATGATTGTCTACCATTTTGTCATTCGATGAGATTTCCCTATGTGTTGTAAATTCTATCACTGTGATGTAACCAGATGGATTACTGGCAGTTATATTGATGTGATCTGCAAGATTAGATAATGTCTTAAGCCGATCTTTTTTGAGATATAAAAGAGAGAAGCGAGCAGAGAAATGTGGGGACCTCATACCACCAAGAATGCAGTGCCGGGAGCACAGCATGTCCTTTGGACCTGAGATTCCTGCACTGAGATGCTCCCAGACCAAGGGAAGACTGATGACAAGGACCTTTCTCCAGAGCCGACAGGGAAAGAAAGCCTTCCCCTGGAGCCGACACCCTCAATTCAGACTTCCAGCCTACTAGAGAGTAAATTTCGCTTTCTTAAAACCATCCACTTGTGGTATTTGTTATACCAGCACTAGATAACTAAGAGACACACACATGGAAGGCCAGAGCCAGGCCCATAGTCTCACCACACCCATCTTACAGAGAAGGACACTGAGGGACAGACTACGGCACTGGAAGCGGGGCTCCCTGCAGTGCGATGGATTACTTTAATATGGCCTCTCTCGCCATGGTCCTGTAACTCCCACCCAAGTGATTAGGTGGGACTACATAAATAAGGTAATTGTGGCCCACCAAGGGGACTGGTCAGTTCTGCCATTCTGCTAGGCTTAAAATGAGCCATCACAAAAGTGGGAAGAGAGGATCTCACCACCATCAAGGAGGAAGAACCAAGAGCTGAGCGTGTCCTTTGAACCAGGAAGCCCTGTGCTGAGAAGCTCCTGGAACCAGGAGACAGAAAGAGAGCTGTAACACTGAAGATGGCAAGAAGCGGTAGCAGAGAAACTGCCAGTAAAGGCAGGAGATCAGCAGGAGACACCGGCAGGAGACAGTGCAGTGGGCTTCCCGGCCCACGGAGGGAGAAAGTTGAGTGTCTTCAGGCAGGAGGCAGACTAGTAGGGTGCCTCGGGGCACTTAGTGGAGGTAGGTTTGCCCATGGAGCTAGAGCTAAGCACCTTCAGGCCAAGACTTACTGGCTGAGTGGGGTGCCTTGGGGCACTTATCGGCAGTTCAGTGTTTTGTAACACTTGCCCAAGGAGGGCAGAGGCCGAGGGGCCAGAGAGAGGCCTGCCTGTGGGTACGGCTGAGAAGAGGCTGTCCTGATGGAGAAGAACTGTATCCTGAGCGCTCCTGAACCTGAATTGTAACCTGTTACTTCCCTAACAAACCCCATAATCATGAGTATTGTCTGTGAGTTCTGTGTGGCTGTTGCAACAAATCATCAAACTGAGCAGAGAAGTAGTACCATGGGAGGGACGGTTGGTGTCAGAACTGGTAAAGATGGTGGAGAGAGGAGGCATGTCTGACCTCCACCTCACAGGAATCAGCCTTGGGCTGTTGATCCTGATTCTCCTTTCCCCTTGTGAAATTAGAGAAGGTCAGCCGCCGCCCCTACACCATTTTTACACTCCCAAAGCCTTTCCCAGCTATGCAGCCCTGCACCAACCCCGCCCCCACCTTACTGCCCTCATCCCCAGCGGTCCCTCTGCACCAGCCCCACCCCAGGCTCCCGCAGAGCCCCCATCCCCAATGGCCTCAGGCCCTAGCAGCCACAAGACCTATGCATGTGTAGAACTAGGCGCCAGGGCCAGCAGCGCCACCAGGCCAGCATCAGTCAGAGGCTGCAGCTGAAGAAATCCCACAGGCAGAAAGAGCCGATGCCTCATCTACACAATGGCTCCAAACCAGAAACCTAAACGTGAGAACAGCACCAAAGAAGTGCTACAAGGAAAGTGAGGAGTGGGCTTATAACCTAGAGTGAAAGGTCAGGATAAGACACGGGTCAAGAGAGAGAAAGAAAAATACTAACCACTCTGATTACATAAAAATTAAAATTTTTTGGAAAGCAAGAACGTGCCACAAACCAAGTTAAACGACAGTTTCCGACACAGACGAAGGCACCAGTGGCCTCAATGAGGGGCTGATAGCATCTAGAATGCCAACCTGGCTGGGGCTCCGGGCGGCACTCAACTCCAACAACAGCACCACATGGCCCCCAGCCCTGCAACCTCATTTCTAGGAATCTACCAGAAATAGTCAAAGAGGCGGCAAAATCAACCACACAAGGACATTAGAAACAACCTAATCTAAGCAGCTGCTCCTTCCCAATGAGCATTTATGCAAATCAGAAAAATGGAAAAGTACGTGACCGTTAAAATATGAGGGATAGAATTTTCTACTTATTTCTGGTACCTAAAGCTGGTAGAAACGTGTAGATAGTAATACATTTCGTGAAAGCTGTAAGTGATGACAGATGTTTGTATGCACAGAAGGGACTGAGAACACACTCACCCCAGCTGACTAGGCATCTAGGGGTCTTTCACTGATGAAGTTTGCACTTGTTTTTTTACCAGGTGAGATTAATGCTCCCTGTAGCTCCCTGTCTGGGGATGGGCGCTTGTTTCTAAGCCACAGAGCCAAGGCAGCTTCAGGGGTGGGTGGCATTCACAAGGTGCTATGGAGGCACTTGGGGGTCTGGAGATCAGGACATCTCTGACCTGGGCTCCAGCACACAGCCCGCGTGTGCTCACATACGTGGAACATTGCATGAACAAATCAACTAGATTCCAACTAGATTCCAACTCTCCAGGTCCCCCGTGGAGAGAAGGAGCCAGGCTAGAGGGCCGGGCAGGCCTCCTGACCCACGCTCTGTAGGAGCCAGGGACGAGGGAAAAATCTGGAAGCTGACTCCGAGTGAGTGTGGGCCTGGTCCCCACAGCTATCCTGCCCTCAGCCCCACACCCTCAACAGCCCTACTTGGAGAAGATGACCATCAGCTTCCTCCGGCTCCTTCGCGGCTCCGAGTCCTCTTCGAACTCATCACGGGCCTTGCCCAGGAAGACCTCCTGGTGGAATTCCTTGTTGAGGTGCCCATCCATCTCCATCTTTACCCCATTCAGGTGGTCTGGGGGCAGGATCTCATTCTCCTCCCTGTTGGTTGCTCTCTCCCGAACGGCCGAGTGGTTGGCGGGTCGTGTGGACACATTCGCCAGGAGGAGCATGCCCAGGAGCCAGAGGCAGCACAGAGCTCTGCTGCAGGGGGAAGCCAGCCAGGTCGCCATCACCAGGCAGGACATCACTGTCGGCCAGGACTGCACCAGGACGGCCCACAGATGTGGGCAGAGTCTGCAGAGGAAGGAGGGCACAGGAGGGGGTCACAACGAGGATCAGAACCAATGCGTTTTGAGCGCACCGCCTCCCAGGTCACGTGACTCTGTGCTCCCTTCAGCAGCTGCAGGGACGAGGCCCCCACACCCTTACTGCCCTCTGTACCCATCACAACAGCCCTGCACCCACATGCCATGTTCACGCAGAGACACAAGGCCAAGGCTCCTAGGGAGTGTGTCCCTGTGGTCCCAGATCCAAGGACAGTGCAGCTGGGCCTCACCCTCATGCACCTCTTGCCCTTCCCCACCTGTGCCTTCCACTTGGGCTCCACGTCCCACAAGGATTCTGCCCCCCCTTCCCAGCTGCCTCCTCAGTTCTCCATTAGCTGCTCAGGGGGGTCTCACGTTCATGCATCCCAAAGGGGGCATTGCTTGTCCCCCTGGCCAATGACTGCAAGACTTCCTGTCCCTAGGGAAAAGTCCCACTCACCCCACCTGTCCGGGCCTGCACATGAACACACAGCCCCTCCACAGCTGGGGAGGCAGAGGAGGAGGACCCCCAGTGGGCCTTGCTGGTCTTCAAGGCACAGGCAGACAGCACCACTTGCTTCCCTGATGAGTGCTCTCTACCCTCCCTTCCCCTGCCGCTAACCAACGGCATTCCTTTGAGCGTTGACCCCTCTCTGCATGTTAGTCTCCTTCTCAACCCAAACACCTGATCTCAGTGACAGGTCTTGCACTCTGCGGGTCCGTCTCATATGTGTGATGGCTGATTCTCCAAAGGCAGCCTGTATCCCTCTTCCCAGGCCTGGGGCAGCTCCTTGCCTGTTTGTGCAGACCTGCCCCCCTACACACACAACACCATGGCTCCTCTGTGCTGTCTGGGCTGGAACCGCTCCCTGAGCATGTCCGTCGTGACCCCTGTGGACCACCCCCAAGTATGTGTCGTGACCCCTCATCACTGTTCACTGTCTGTCGTGACCCCTGTGACACCCTGAGCAAGTTCGTTGTGACCACTATGACCCCGAGTGCTGTACATCATGACCTCTGTGAGCGCTTAGCATTGTCTGTCATGACCCCTGTGACCCTTGTGGCCAGGGACTGTACCTCTCTCAGCTCCAGAACCAGCACAACCACGCTGTCTGCACCCAACCAGCATTGCAGATGTCAGTGGGTGAAAGAACACGGGTGTTCCTGCTGCACACAACCCCTGGAAAACTCTATCTTGCTGAAGAGAACACTAAAATATCACAGGGACTGTGGGGAAGTGGAAGAAGCCCTGGTGGCACAGTGGTTACACTGTTCAGCTGCTAACCAAGAGATCAGTGGTTCAAAGCCACCAGCTGCTCCATGGGAGAAAGACGTGGCACTCTGCTTCCGTAAAGAGTTACATCCTTGGAAACCCTATGGGGCAGTTCTACTCTGTCCTAGAGGGTCACTAGGAGTCACAATCAACTAGACAGTAGTGAGTTTGGTTCTGATTGGGGAGGTGGGGGCAGATGACTCGAACCTACGCAGCTTTATAAACAGAGCATAAAGAAACCATCGTTGGTGGCTGGGGATAGGGATAACTAGGGGACAGCCCAGGCAGGCACTCAGCAGAGGCTGCTGGAAGGGTGAGGGGTACTGAGGAGGAGAAGGTGAAACAGACACACAAGGAGGTGCAGCTGTAAGCCAGGGGCTGCTGCTGAGGTGGACACAGGAGTAACAGCAGGCTGCCACCAGCCCAGAGCTGACAAGGCTGGGGTCACCATGGCAGGGAGCCCCAGTACGAGTGCTCGAGTTTACTTTTCTTCACTGAGTGCTGATGGGCTCCTGCCTGTACAGCCGCAGCCTGGCCAAGGGATTTCCCCTTTTCTGCTGAAGGTGGACTCTATCCCTGCAGTCCCAGAACTCCTGGCCGGGGAAGCATTTTATAAAAACCAAGACAACTTCCTGGTGTTAACATTACTCCACTCACTGTGGTCATAAAAACAGGTGTGCACCAGAACAGACTGCACTTTATGCCTTGAAAAAACAAAGTCAATTCCTGACTGCACTCATCTTCATGAATTTATAGGGAAGTGTTACCTACATGATGTTTTACACAAAAACTAACCCAAAAATAACAGTATGAATACCAGAAGTTCATCCAGTAAAACTTTTCCCCCTCCACTCACAATATCAGTGAGCAGTCTGAATGTTAGCAGTCAGCTGTGCACTGCCTCATCCTCCACCTCTCCCGCTCGGAAGGATTTCAAAGAATCAGGAATTTTTCTCATTTATACTCATTCCTCATGCCTTGGAAACATCAGTTTCCACTAAACAGTCAAAAACCGTTGACTACTTGGTAGCAACTGACAACTAAATGAACAGATATTGGAAACACCAGCCCAGATTTCTAGCTTAAGTGGAGGCGATATTTCTTGGCCATCCCTGGGTTTTGACTCCAGTGTAACCAGAATATTCCTACGTTAAATAGTCAAACATTCATTCTAAAAGTTTTGTTATCAGTTTTAATATTAACGTGATAATAACAACTACCACTAGCTTTATGCCTGCAATTTCCAATCTTCACCAGATCCTACTAATTAGGGTTCGCCATCCACATTTTACAGATGAAGAAACTGAGGCACTTGCCCAAGGTCACCTCGCTAGTAAATGCCAGAGTCCACCACGCTGCTTTAGCAATCACTCCGCCTTGACCTAAGTTTCGCTGTCGCGTTGGTAGATTTTGACAAACAGAATACCTGTCAAACACTGCAGTGGGAAGGAAGCACGAGGGCCTGGGCAGAAGCGCTGAGAGGCAGGGCCAGGCTCTCCCCGAGCTCCTCTGCAGAGCGGCCGTGAAGACCGGAGAAAATTATCCCAGGGCTAGCGTCGTGCCTGGGCCGGGCGGCTGCGACAACTGACACTCTTCGGGCACCTCCGGCCCGGGCCAAGTCAGCTCTGGGAACGCTCGGAATCGGGTCGCCCACCCGTCCGCCCTTCCCGACGCCTGGGTTGACCGCCGACCCGGCGACCACCGGCCGGGACCACGCGCAAAAGGAGGTGCGGGGCCTGGACGACGCCCCCAGGACGAACAGGTACGGTCTTTTCCCTGCCGAAATGCGGCCAGCGGACGTCAGGCCCGTCGCCTCACGTCGGTCCGCCCGACGGACGATGACCCCAGCACAGCGCAAGCGGCGCTGCAGCCACCTCGGCCTCCGACTCCCACCCCTTGCCGTTCGGCCGGCGGGGAAGTGGGCCTCGAGGACGCTCGGCCCAGGGTCCGCGGCCGACGCCTGAGGACCCTCACTCACCGTCCTCCCTCTCCTTACCCAAGATCCAAAGAGCAGAGCCACGAGCGCCCGTGACGCCTCCAACCGGACTCAGCTCAGGCCGCTGCCATATTTCTTCCGGGAAAAGGCGGGCCGCGGGGCGGTGCCGCGTCACTGCGGAGGCGCAGGCGCCACCATCTTCCCTCCGGGCGGAATCGGTTGCGCGACGGATACCGAGGTAGGCCAATGAGAGGGGAGCGCGAGGTCACGTGACGGCCGAGCCGAATTCGATCCTCGCCGCCGCCGCCGCTAGCTCGCCAGCCTCCGAGCGCCCCGCCCGGTACTCGGCGGCTCGGGGCTCCTCCCGCCACCGCGAGGGGCAAGGACCGCGGCCGCTCGCGCCCCGCCTCGCCGTTTTTGGGGATTCAGTGCCTGGGAGAAGGCCCCGCGGCCGCACGCCGGCGCCCTGCCGAGGCGCGCGCCCCAGAACGCCGTGCG